TGGGCACTGTTGGGCTGTCTTGGCTGACACACCTGTTCAGTGTCACATGGAGGTCGGGTACGGTGCCTGCAGAGTGGCAAACCAGGGTGGTGGTCCCCATCTTCAAAAAAGGGGGCCGGAGGGTGTGCTCCAACTATCGGGGTATCACACTGCTCAGCCTCCCGGATAAAGTTCACTCCAGGTTGCTGGAAAAAAGGCTCTGACCGACTGTCGAACCTCAGATTCAGGAGGAGCAATGCGGATTCCGTCCTGATGGTGCAACGTGGACAGCCTCCACGTGTTCGCCTATGGCTCAGCCAATGGTGATGCTTTCAGAGACATCATCACGGGCTCGGATCCGTCCACGTTGGCTCATAAGATGGATTTGGGGTTCTGTTCTCGGTCAGTTGATTTTTCTGGTGTTTTATGAGGTGACGTGCAGCACGGGATGATGTGGTGTGTAAAAAAAAAAAAAGCAGCCAGTCAGCATCAACACACCGTTTTGTTGATGCTCAGGCTACATGCTGATTAACATTGCTTAGCGTCCTCCATTTGCAGACAGGGGAGACCTTGCAGGTCCTGCGCTGCTGCAGACATAGGAGTTGTCTGATGGAGATGCTCGGCAACGTCATTAAACACTCATCACCAGCAGCATTCACACACCATAAGAAGGAGGCAACCTGAATGTGGGCTGAGCCCAGAGTAAATATGGAGGCGGATTCCTGCTGTCAGACGTTCTTTTTCTAAATACACATCTGTACACTTATAAATGACGTCCTGGGTGATGTAATGATGTTTGAGTATTTACATAGATTCAACTGATCTTGTTAAAATCAAGAAGGTTTGTTATTTATATATATGTACATATTTAAATCATATAAGAGAAACAATATGAACTCTTACAGAGTTACTGAGAACTAACAGTACAATAAGATCATAAAATATGATCATAAAAACAGGATGCTGAGGCTGCAGATGGAGTCCAGACCTCGGACCTTCTCGCTGTGAGGTGATGATAATATTTAAATGTTAGCGCCGTCAGGCCCGCATGGAGGAGTGAGTGTATCCCTGAGGTTATCAGACGGGCAGCTTCCAGCACAGACGTCGGGTTAAATCAGACCCTGCATGCCTCCTGCAGCCTTGTCAAAACTCAGTTCTCACTCCCACTAAAGTGTGACTCATATTCCACCGTCAGCCCTGGTGCTCTACTTCTTCATCACCTCCAACACACTGAATCAACTCTTCTCCTGCTAATCCCTCTAATGTGTTTACTTCACTTTAAACATATGTCTCCAGCACGCTCATTAGCATTCTGGGGCTGCAGGATGCGAGTTTGTATTTGAGTGAAATATCTTTTGTTTCAGACTCATCTCCAGTCAAACATTACAATCAGCCAGCATTAAGGCTTGCACACATCAGACCAAACCATGTCATGTTACTTGTCGGTGAAGATTCTCAGTCATCCAGGTCATGGTAATCTAAGTGCTATATTGTAGGCAACTGGACTTGCTTGTGTTTCTTGAAGAAGTGTCATGTTACAGGTACAGGAGAGGTCAGGTAAAGGAATAACTACAGAGGAGCCATCTTAAAGTATTCCGCAACAGCTATTTTCATTATTGATTATTCCGACGGATATTTCCTCGAGTAATTGATTACTTGATCTAAAAAATGTCATCAAATATGACGTTATATACTGTCAAAAAAACTTTCTGATTATTGTCTCAATCAATCGAGTCTGCTCCATGAACACAAACAATGTAGTTTATGTGGACTCAGTCCCACACACACTGTCCTGCTGCTGCAAATACTCGCTGGAGCACTGAGTTTGGATTAATCCCCCACTGGAAATAGTCCCCAACAAAGTCACCATTTCCTCCTTTTTGTTTGATGAAAACTACAGATCTTCATCTTCAGTAGGGGCCAGTGGGTTTGAGTCTGTGAACCACAGACAGGAAGTCAGAAAGTACAGAGAGACGGATTGATGATAATTTGGTTTTGGTGTTTTAAAGCTCCAGTGTGACGGATTTAAATGCAATAGAACATAAGAAGTCTGTTTTCTTTAGTGTATTATCAGCTGAAAATAAGAAGCATATTTTTGTTACCTTAGAATCAGACGTTTACATCTACATAGGGAGCAGGTCCTCGTCTACAGAGAACGCCATGTTGCACTGCCATGTTTCTACAGTAGCCCAAAACAGACAAACCAGACACTGGCTCTATATAGGGACATTCACATTTCCGCATCTGCCACCAGGTTGCAGCCTCTCAGCGGTGACAGCGTTGGAAAAACTGATATTTTTTTTTGTTTAATCAGTGTTTTTGATGGTTTAATTTACCCAGGGTCTCATTTATGAAGATGAATATATGACACGAAAATGACAAACACGTATCTGTGATTATTTGGCATCAAAACTATTTATACTGGCAGCGTTGCCAATATGCTTAAGTTGTGAGACTATTTAAATCATCCAGTGATGATGACCTCCTCCTTCTTTTCTACCTCACTTGATAGAAGCAGAGGAGATTTTAAGTACATCCCATGTTACAAGGTAGAGAAAGTTTCCTTTGATCCAAACACTCTGACTGACTGAATCTGAGTTTCCTCTGTTAAACTGTTACAGTGTTTGTGTCCAGGGCTTTTATTGTGAAAGGTAAGAGTGGAAGGAGTGGGTTCAGTTGACTGACACTTCGAGAAACACTGGAGTCAAGCTGAATCTGGTGCAATCGAGTTTAATGTGTTCACAAGCAACAACACATACAACTCATGAGTCAAGCTCCGGAACAAGACTGAAGTTTCACTTTCTGTGCATTCCCTTTAATGCTGGTGAAGATTCGAGAGAACCTCCACCCTTGTCCTTTAGTCCATCCTACCTGCATTCGAATCTATTGGTGGCAGGTCTTTTTCTTTATAGCCCTTTTCCATCTGGTCCAAATCTATTGGCGGCAGGCCCCTTGGGCCCTTGTCCAAACATGACCTGATGGTGTAATCTCCGGGCCTGGAAATCCCCAAATTCTCCCACCATTAGATTCGAGCCTGGTTTCACTTTATTTTTTAAAAACATATGAGCCTGGGGACTTTCTCTATACAGTCCCCTGTGCTTTCATACAATGTGTACTTTAGAGTGTATGTCATGCAATACAAACATTAGAGTGTGTGTGTTATTATCAAACAATACATGGTGTGGTATATGTGTGCTCTTCAACGTTAATACATAACCCTGTGTTATGAATATATAAACTTGTATAACACTGTTTTATCACACATAGATGCATAACAAACAGTTTTATAGGAACTTATAACATAAAACATGGTTATATGAACTTCACTCTTAATCAACTTGTGCAGTTTAACACCTTTACCTGATTAAAGATTAAATCTTACACTACACATCTCGTCAAACTAAAAGTTGTTTTATTTTCTTATGTTGAGAAAGCACACTTTAGCACAAGCGAATTATTTCGTAATCTCAAGAAAATAAGTGTTACCTCGTCAAATACAGACAACATTCAGGTTATTGTTGGAAAAACAAGACAATGTCTTATTTTGTTGTTTGTTAATCATTTCATCATCTCGGGGGAAGAAACTTTGTATCTCTAAATCACAACTTATTTGTTTATTTCATTTCATTTATTTATTTATTTCGACTTTTTATTTCTTATCTTGTTTATTCTCACAAAATTAAAAATGATAATAATTCATAAACAATTCAGTGTTTTTTCGAACATCTACCAGGAGGGGGCAGCAGTCACAGGCTGCGCTCAGCTCTCATGTACTCGAGTAAAAATACTCAGTTACAATCAAAGTCCTGCACTGAAAATGTTCCTCCAGCAAGAGTTTGTTGGTTTAATCAGTAAAATAAAACTGTTATATCTTTATATATCATATGAGTTAATGCTCATTAATGTAACAGCAGGATGTTACTAGTTGTTTGTCTGATTTTAAACTGTTAACTAGTGATTATATGATTATGGACTAATCTGCTGATTATTTTCTCCATTAATCGATTGATTGTAAAAATAGAAAAAAGATAATAATAATGAGCCCAGAGTGTCTCCTTCACTGTGACTGTTTCACCTCAACGTTTTTACTGACACGTCACAGTTATTATTGTCCTCCATATTCAGGTGTCTCCTTGTTGACGGTGATGCATTGAGAGGAAACAGGCTCGTGCTCATGTCAGAACTTCAATCACTGCTCGCGCTCAGACCCGAACACATGCACCGGCAGAACGTGCCGCTCGTTCTGTAGAAGTCCCCCCCCCCTTCCCGTTGCGGAAGGGCGCCTCGTTCTTTTTAAACCAAAAGGGTTCCACCAATATGTCTACACTACGAGGCGGAAAATTGGGCACTTCGGATCAACTCGCCAATCTGGCTCTGTGTGTCTAAACGCTCGCAGCTTGCTGGCAAAACAGCCCATCATTGGGAAAATCCTGTTTACTGTTGTTTTATGATTGGCTGATGCCTTTATTCACGCTTTTACAGCGGGGTCAAAGGTTCCACTTGTGTCATGGACTTTCAAAATAAAATCAATTGCAGCTTGATAAAAGTGATTGAGATGTATTACAATAATGCAACATATTGCACATATACTGCACATGCTCTTCCCATCAGACACCCGCGGATACCTGAACCTGTGAAGGACTCTGGCCTGACATCCATGAACCAGTAATTAACCGGTTAGCAATGTTACCATGCAGAAATATAGTGCCCACAGCCCACCGTCCTGTCTCTGCTGGTTAGCTAACGTTAGCTGCACTGCACACCACTCGAGTCTGGTGGCAGCGAGCTAGCGGCTTCACGTTGAGCCGCAGCGTTGATGCTTCAAACGGTGCTAACAGAGCTAACAGTGAGTGTGGCTTCATAATTAAGCTGCTTGCTCATCGGGGTGACCTGGGGGGAGACCTGACGGTGGGCACAAGATTTCCACAACAACGCCGTCTCGCCACCATGGGTCAGACGCCGCTTGCTAGCTTCCACCTGACCTGGGTGCTGTGTGGTGAACAAAAGAGAGTAAAACTAACCTTTAGACTGACATCAACGGACTGCTACATGTTCTGTATGTATAGTCGCCTGTTCCACTGACAGCATCATTGCGCTCATCGGCCTACAGACAGAAAAAAGAGAGAACACGAATGTCTATCAGTGAAATGTGAGTGTGAGGCTGCAGACGTGCTTTTTACACACAAACATGGAGCCTGAAAACAAAGTGCCGTGTCTTTGTGTTTCCATCACTCGCTGCAGCCACAATAATCACTTTCATCTTCACGCTCGAAACCTCACCTTCTCCTTTTTTGTTCCTAATACGCCTCACACACACACACACACACACACACACACACACACACACACACACACACACACACGTAGCTCTGCTTTCACACATGAAAAGAAACACATCTCATCTGCCTTTGCAATTTTCTGTGTATTCACTCAGCCTCGAACACCCTGAAGCTTTTGACCACATGCAAAGACACAACTCAAACAGCGAGGGAGTCATCTCACTCTCACTCTCAGCTTTGTCTCACCTCTTTTAACACCGTCTCTGTGCTGCTTTTCCACATGAAAACACTTCGGCTCTGACTGCGCTCTCTCTTTACTGTGTCTTTGTTTCTGTGTGTGTGTGTGTGTGTGTGTGTGTGTGTGTGTGGACTGCTTATAATCTGTGTTTCCCTGTATACGTTCAAAGAGCTTCCCTACCCATTAATCCCTCTCTTACATCAACAATGCTCCTTAAAAACTCATCAGCAGTCTCCACCTTTGCCTCCTTCATTTATCTCTCCATCCATTTATCTAAGCAGCACACACTGTCTATCCCACAGCTTTAATATGGAGCTCACATACAAACTCTTGTTCTCCTGCTGACCGAGCTGTCATAGAAAGACTCTAACAGGTAGTTGCATGGCAACAGAGTGGAGCACCATGGTAAGTATGAGGGAGATCAGCGGGGACGCAGGACTCGCTGAGCTGCTGATAGTCCATCCAACCTCACAGCCCCTCCCCAGCTTCTTCAGAGAACCACAGTGCTGATGAACAGCGTGTGTAACATCACCTGGTGGCTGGGAGTCGATCCTGTGGCGCCTGATGGCCTCTGATTGGATTTTAGTTCCAACAGAGTGAAAACAAAGACACGGTTCATGATAGATAGAAATGTCCTGAGGCTGCCCTGAGGTGGATCATGTGGAGCTGATGTTCATGGTTTGGTTTACAACCCTTAGTCCCAACAAAGGGACGGATAACTGATTCTAACTCTGTGGTAAACACTGTGACTGGAGGTTTCTTCTGTAATGAAACAATCTTTGGACAAGCATGAATAATACAGGCGATACATGAGGTGAGTTTATTAACCAAACAACAGCCAAGATGTTTTTGTTGTTTGGCCGACTTACAAAATTAACTGTTAATTAACTACAGCTGAGTATATTCGTCAATAACAGTCACAGTCATTAGAGCTGTAAATTACCAAACTTTAACGTGTTCTACATCTTGTTCAGACATATTTAATTATGTGAGGTATTGTTCAAAATCACAGCTCTGCTGATTGGAAAAAGCACTCTTCCACAAAACCGTTCAGTCTACAGGGAGCTGAAAACGAACCCATGTTGAGCTGATGTTGATCTTTCTTACCTGAAAAACACATTAATAGAAAACTGACCCACAGTGTGAAGCCTTTATGTTTAACAAACACAATGACTCCACATCCCATCATGTACGTACGGTATATAACTCACACACTGAGTGCAATTCATCATAAATGTCATGTGCGTTCTGTAAGACTCGCCACAATAGCCACACAGTAGTGTAAGGGTCCTCAGAAACTGGCCCTCTGCAGCGGCGGCGGTCATTACAAAGATAAAAAGCTGTCTATTGTCCTTGACCACACTGAGACTTATTATAGGCTCTATTCTTGGAGGGAAAAAGTGCCACTTGCAGAGTGTGAGTGCCCATTTCAATGGTGTCAGTCATTTGCAAGTGAAAAGGTGATATATCAAGGAGGATAATGGCTGGGCTTAGAGGGGAGGAGGGTGGAGGAAGGAGAGCCTTGAGAGTCAGCATGATGAACCGTATAATTAGCCTCTTGCCCCTGTGTGTGTGTGTGTGTGTGTGTGTGTGTGTGTGTGTGTGTGTGTGTGTGGAGAGAAACTGCCTCAGTGTGCGTTTTAACTCTGTGTGTGTCTTTGTATTTACTGTACTTGTTCAGTTTTGTGTAACACTTGTTCCAAGTCGATGTTATTTCAGCTCAGGAGTCAGAAGAGTTCAACATGAAAAGAGCAGTAATCCAGAAAATTGTTTTAAATAAAAAAAAGAAAAACAAACTACAATCACCACCTCGCAGTTGGATGTCTCAGGAATCACTGGGCCCATATAGCAGAAGCAGAGCCACCGAGTGCCCCCACATGTGGCCGAGTGTCTTACTTCCACCGGCTAAACAGATAACTTCCTGTTTAGCCCTCCGCTAACTTGAAAGGAGATACAATAATTTAATCTTGCTGCTCTTTTAGACTTTTGAAATGTTATCAGACCGAACAGATTAAATCTCGATAGTGAAATGAGTCATTTTGTGCACTAAAAAAATGTATCCTTGGATTTACAGACGTCTCTTCCCAGTGTAAGTCTGTGGGAAAAGTCCGGCACACTTCTTGGGGGCCTGTTGGAGACTGTGGGCAGTGGGCACCATGTCATCACATGCTAACGCGGCTAGCCGACTGTCTGCAAAGCCAGCAGAAAATAAATGGCAAGACATTTACATCACAAAACTTCAAAGGCCTCTTGTATTTTATGTCATTTCCCTATTTTTTGTTGTTAATTTTTTCTTAAAAATGAATTTCTTGGTCATCGTTTAGTACGCTGGACTATCAAAAGTAAAACTGAGGGAAACTGACATCCCTTGTGTGTTATCATACACAGTCTATGCACATGCGTAGTTCAGTGTTCTCAGAGGAACATCCTTACGATCAGTAGCTCATGGTGCCTAAAGTTACACACTGCTGCGTAACACACATTACTTTATAACTCTTTTCCTACTGCGACATTATGTTTCAGCTGTTACCATCATCCCACAGTGTTCAGCAAAAGTGATAGTCTTACTTTGATGAATGGGTTTAATCTGCACGAGTGCAGTTAATCAGAGCGGTGTTCCTCAACATGCTGGAGGGTGTTTTATTCACTTTGAGCAGGTGGTTCACCTCCTGTACAGCCTGGATACAAATCTTAACTGTAGCTCACATTAAAGCAGCTCACAGGCGATTCTGAAGGCTTTCCATGTGTTATCCTTCAAGCAGGACTGTGTTGTTGAAAATCCCTCAGGTATCCCCAAAAAGTAAGTGCAGAGATAAACCTGAAAATATGAGGTAGTAGAAGTGGACCAAGCTGACCTTTATCATGACTGTGGAGGAGAAACAGTTGCACCAGTTTGAAGGTAGTCTGTGAAGTTGACAGTTATCATACAGTGTGCATTTGCTTGTCTATGATATTGAAAAAAATACAACTGGACGGAGAGTCTTTTTACACAAACTTCCATCCAGTCGTCTAAACTAGTCGGCACCAGAAATATTAGTCGGTTAAACCAATTAGTGTTTTATTCATGTACAAGGCTGCTTAACTGTCATGCAGCCGCCTGCCACTAGTGGGTGCTACAGAGCAGTCAGACAGCAGTCCCCCTCCCCACGGTAATGCGGGGAGGGGGGACTGTTTTAAGTTTTAAATTGGAGAGATGTCCTGTCACAAAACCAGCACACGGCTGTGTCAGAAAACACTGGCATATAATCACTCCACTAGAGCGAGGAGCAACCACAGTCAACTCAAGAATTTGGATGTTAAGCTGCACAGAACGACGGCTGCTGCTGGTAGCAGTCTGCACCCGGTCTGAGAAGATAACACAGTTCATCACAACAAAGACCTCGGAAGAAATGCTTCCACTTAACTGTGTTGAAGGTAAAGGCTTCAGGGATGTTAATGGAATATGTTGAGCCTGAATACACCATGCCAAGACCTCTTTTCAGACTAGTCAGCTAGTCTTAATTAAAATTTTCATTTAGTCGCCAGGAACATCCCAAATTTCAATTTTCAATTATGGTAATAAAAGGTTTGTTCAATCAAAAATAACTCGTCTGTTTTCATTCCTTTAAGGCTTATTCTGACTGATGCACAGGGTCCAAAACTAACACTCGCCACTCACCAATTACAGGTAGATTTTGTCTCTGGCTGGTAAGTTTTTAAGAACACAAGCCACTCTGGCGAGTTATTTTTTTACCAGCGAAAAATGCATTTTTTTGTTACTGGAGAACGATGCTGGTATCAGCTGGTTTCCTGGCAGAGTAATGTGTATATCAGGCAGAGACGATCTTTGGTCACGTAAGTGCGTCAGTCATGACGTCATCACAGAGTGCCGAGGTGGATAGCTGTTGTTAGGCTCATTCGAGATGAACTGCACCTCGCCTGGAAAGTAGACGAGAGCAGGCGGCCACAGCGGGGGGCGGTGACAAAAAGCAGCGGTGAAGTCGGACAGTTTCCCGACAGTTTCCAGCAGCCTTCGGTCCGTACAGGAAGTCACAGACACACTCACATCCTGTCTGGAATGATGTCAATTCATTAAAGTGATCAGACCCATATATCAGTTTGTTCTCAGTCTCCAGTTGTTTTAATTATGATAGATTAATTTATTAAAATGTTTTACAGGTGATCTGTAGTTTATGTTCATGGTTCATGAACTCTGCTGTAAATCAGCATCATATCAGTTTGACCTGTCCCCTCAACTACACAGGCTGAATACACTGTGTCTGACTATAAGATTCATATTTTCAGAGGGAAAAAAATACAAGACAACAGCTTTCATTAAGGCTCAGTCAGATACAGTCAGGGCTTCATATCTGTACAGATGTTAGTTCAAGAATCCTCACATCCCACTGACCACAAGTCTCTGTGTTGCTAAATACTTCAATAATTAAACCGTCCAATATTAATATAGTACAGTAGACTCTGTATAGTTTATGATGAATGTATTCAGTCTCTGACAAATAAACTTCACCATCAGTCACACAACATGTTTTCTGTTCACAGAATAAACCTTCAGATCAGACAAATAAAATCTTAATCTC